TATGTGAGATGTGTATTTATATATATGGTGTATATATATGTATAGTAGTACAGTGTGCAGGTATTGTCTATGCAATGTGTGTATTATGTAACATGATATGTGTGGTATGCATATGTGGCATGTGTGTATAGCTCTGTGGTATATGAAAGGATGGAGATTTGAGGATATGACATAGTAAATGTGTAGTATGTGGCATTTTTGTATACCTGTACATTGTATATGTAGGATGTACAGATGTTGTTATATATATGATGTGTGGTGTGTATATGTGTGTGTGGTAATTGGTTGCAATAATGTGTGTATTTGTAAGTATATTGGGTGTGGGGTTGTACTCTGTATGTGTGATGTGGCATGTATGTGTGTGGTAAAAGCATATATCTAGGCAGTTTGTGTGTGTGCATGTGTGTGTGCGTGTGTGTGTGTGTGTGTGTGTGTGTGTGTGTGTAGGGTATGAGATATATTTATGTGATATGTGTGGTGTATGGCATGTGTATATGGATGGCTATGTGGTGGAGTGTGTTCATTTTACACATCGACATTTATGTCACATAAGAGAAGACACATTTTCCAGACCAAATTAAGAATGTAACCATTAATGTCATGAGAGTTTCTAAAACTATTGTTCAAATGTTTTAGGCAGTATTTTGCGCACAAGTTACACATTACAACTTTTTTTTTATTTGGTTTTTACCAGACAGGGTTTCTCTGTATTGTTTTGAAGGCTATCGGTCCAGCCCGGCCTCGAACTCGCAGAGATCTGCCTGCCTCTGCCTCCGGAGTGCTGGGATTAAAGGCGTGCGCCACCACCACCCGGCACACATTACAACTTTAAGAGAACAACTTTTAAAGCTCAACTCAACTAGAACTAAAACAAAATTCAATTAATTCTACTACCTAAGACATCATGGACATACTTAAAAGAACTTGCAATGACTATCTGGTATGAACTTTAGTCACAGTTACTAAAAAGGAGCTGTAGGGAAAAGATGTCTTTATATATGAGTCAAATCAAAATTTAAGAATAAATTTCAGAATAAATCTAGTTTATAAAAATCATCTATAAAGATAAATAGATTAATGAATAAAACAGATGACTCACAAACCCCCAGATGTCACCAGATTCATAAATCAGAGAAATAAAATTATTTTTAAAAATCAAGGCTTTATTCCAGAAAAAAAACTAGTCCCAACACACCTCCTTTTTGGTTGGGAAAAGTTCCTCTAGCCCTGGGGATTCAGTGGTAGAACTCTAGCTGAGCATGTGTGTGGCCCTGGGTTCAATGCCCGATACTGGGGGAAGAAATTTCCATAGATAGCTTGTCATTTTCACTCCGGTAAAGAGGTAACACCCACCAGCTAACTTACAGCTATCAGCAAGACTTATGCACAACCTAGCCTGCCGGCTCCCTGGGTGGCAATAGCTGTGTGCACAGCTCTGCACAGGAGCCTTGAGCCGTGGCTTCTCTGTTGGGTCTTCTTATTTTGGCACCTGGGCCTGTCCTAAATGTGTTCATGCCTCAGTGCATCAACCCCTCTCAACCTTTTAAAAGCTTCATTCTAAAGAGCCCTTCTTGTAAGGACCAAGTTGGAGATTAAGACTAGCCTGGAGCAGACCACCGTGTCACACCTGATAACTGTAGTCTTGGCCTCCACCAAACAGTTCCAAAACCGAACCTGAAACCTGCCTGCCTACGGAGATTCTTCAGGGTCAGGCTCAGACTAGCTTCCCTTCCTAAAGTCTCCCTACTGGAACCAGGAGAGAAAGAGGAGTGGCCTGTGGGATCCACATAGCAGTCACACAACACACAGGTGAGCGGCTGCAGAACAGCACTCCTTTATCTCCAGCCAACTGTTACATCCAAACAGAAAGCAAGCTTTAGATAGACGTGTAACACACTATTCATGGTTCTTTGCTGTTGGGTTTTTCTGTTCTGTCTATCCAGGTCATGGTTTCTTGCTCTTCCTCTTTTAAGTTACCACAATTAAACAAGTGTCTGGAATACTTGGAGGAATAAAATAGTGTTGCCAGTGAGGTCTGGCTCACAGTAGTCTAAATCTGAACCCTCCGGAGTGCATAAGCCCCTGCCCTTATTTAACATCAGACTGAGGGCTATGGCTAAGCTGACAGAGTGCTCACCTAGGATTCTGGGAGTCCCAGGTTTGATCCCCAGTTCTCCCCTCCTCCCCACCCCCGGAGATCTCCATGAGCCAGGCAGGGCTGTGCACACCTGCAATATCCACACAGAGGTAGAGGTCACCATTGACTGCATAGTAAGTTCAAATCTAGCCTAGAATACTAAGGTCCTGTCTCAAGAAAGGAAAGAAAAAAAACTTTTAAAGAAAGGAAAGGGTAAACTAACAGCAGGCTCAGATGTAGCCGATAAAACAAGCTCAGGTGTTAGCTTGTAATTCTGCTGGTTGAGAACTTTTTTCAGTCTTCACTTTTCCATCCTCCACTGAAAATGTTAGCAACTGACAAAGAAATGGCTTGATGTTGTGTAGACAATCAAAACCCACCAGGCTTCAGTATCTACAGTGCCCCTGTCAAGCAGATGAAATATCTGAGAGTTATCACTCCTGTATACAACATCCCATCACAACCTACCACTATGTACTTCTGGTAGAAAAGAAAACCTGTGATGGCGCAGTGTAGGAATGTTCCAGAAGACCAGAAGGCATCTGGGGGCTTTCTTTAACTTAGAAAACAGGATTATATCAAGCGGAATTAAAGCAATTTCACAAAGCATAACCCTTCAGACTTTAGAACTGAGTTCCTGTTATAAAATGCAGGCTTTTGAAGGTATCAGAAGAATCCTTCATTCATCAGTAACACTAAATTAAGAGACTTTCAGGTTTTCAATAAAACAAGTCATTTTAGAACTTAGCATGGCAATGTGGGAAATCTGCTCACACGTGCGACAGAGGGCCATTCGATCAGTTGAAGGGGACATGCACACAAGGACTGCAATTGTCCTTTGGCGTCTGGACTTCTTTCTGTGTGATCTCAGACTTCTCCGGGGATGCAAGGACCACCCCTGCACTTATGCTCACAGGCCACCACTGATCACAGCTGCTGACCAACAACAGGAGCCATGGAGGATGGTGCAGGTCCTTAGTGACCGCTACCGGGCACCACCGCTTGCTGTGCCCCTTGGGGACACACGCAGCTTCAGAGTAGACCCCATCAGCTTGCTGGCCCTGGTGTACTGCTGCTGACTCTGGAATAACTCAAAACTCTCCCCACAGAAAGAGTCCAGGCTACGTCCATTATCTTCCTATGTTCCTCATTTGGCCCCATCTGACAAGGGCTACGCCTTAGGTAAAGAGACTTTTCTCCCTAAAACACTATTTTAATTTGTCTGGTTGAATATTCAAACTCCGGACTCATTGACCTGCTCCTTGGGAACTGGTACAGCTGACTTCAATCAGGGCGGTTCTTCTAAGGCATGAGTTTGAGAATTGCCCCTCCTTTTGAAAACAACCCTCTGTGTCCTGCCTCGCACACACCAACAGTTCTGCCCAGCTCTCTTTGCCTATGTTAAATGATTCACAAAAAAGGATCATAAGATGCAATTATGAGACTAACAGAGATAACAAATATATTCCAGTCACGGCTTAACCTCCAGGCTGTCATAGTTTGGTTTTTGTTTGTTTGCTTACTTGGTTGGTTTTACTCTTTGGCCCCTGGACATATAACTTAAATAAGCGATATTCATCCTTTTAAAGGTAAACTCAACCAAATGTGTATGTTTTATGCTGCTCTGTGACCCTTTTGCTAAAATACTATGATAATACATGACCTGCGTTCAGTAGCTGAGAGGTCAAATTAAAGTGCACTCTGGAAAAGCCCCAGTGGCCATGTTCTTTATACGTGTCTTATACAGTCAGAGATGGCATGCATTCCTTTGGGGATTTGGTTCCCAGCTGCCAAGACACTGCTTTTTACCTAAAGATGTGCCCTGTGGAATTTGTAAATTGGATCTGCAACTAGTGCTTACAACCCAGTCCGTCCTACAGGTGTGTTAATACCGGTGGCTGGGAGAGCTTCTGTTTCATCAGAAAAGCCACGCCTGGGTGGCGGGACTGAAATAAGTCCCTGGACTCCCCTGGCCCTCACCTGGGAGAAGCATGGCTGAGGCTGCTTTAGCTGGTCAGATGGGAGGGCATGGGCACTGGGGAGATTAACTGAGCTGAGCTGAGTACCTTCGACGCCACGCATGCTTGTGCACTGCAGGAATTTTGCCAACCACATTGTGATTCTTTAAAAAATTATCATTCTTTGTGTTGCAAGAAAAACTCCTGTCCAGTCTCTGGGTCCAGGAGCCACAACCACATCCCCTCTTAACCCCATTTAAAGGGAAGACTACTGTCACCCGGGAAACAGTCCCAATGACTCCTTCCACTGCTGTAAACCAAAACAATCCAGGGCCAAAGAATATCTTTCCAAGTAAGACACTGGAACCTGTCTCATAGGAAGCAAGGATGTGGCTGCCCTCCAGAAACCGGGCGTTCTTGCTCTCGAAGGGAATACGGCCCACCCCGCCACCAGGGGAGGACGCAGAAGTTGTGGCACTGGGGCCCATCTCTTGTGTGTGTGTTGGGGGGGGGCGTGCAGATATGACTTGTGTACTTCTGGTAGGCCAGACCACGATCTCAGGATGGACTCCTAGAGCGAGAGGGGACACTGACAGGACTTCTGGTGAAGCCAGGTGGTAGAAGTATGCCTCAACCACAGTGCCCTGGGCAAAGCAGGCCCCCTGCGAGGTGACCAGACAGTTCAACCTTTATCCCACCTACATGCGAAAGGCACATTTGTAGTTCGCTCTTTGCCCTGTCGAGCAAGAGGATGGCTAAGGAGGGCGCATTTCCTCATATTCAAACGTCGTCTGTGTTCCCATACCTTGGGGCTTCAGAAAAGGACATCTGTCCCCAGCCGCCCTGACTCCCCCACGCACCCCGATCCCAAGACCTTCGCCTAGCTGTATGTTCCGGTTACCCACCTTGACCACATAGGTGACTCCGGGCCCCAACACCTGGTCGTTGGAGTGAGGCGCGCTCCGCGGGGGCCTGGGCAGCGGCTCGTCGCCAGCCCGGCTCTTCCTGGTGGCGCTCATGCTGGCCGCCTGGGCGCGGGACCCGGGGGTCGCGCTGCCACCGTCCGGGGCCGCCAGGCTGGGCGCGCTGCAGCTGCCCGAGAGCCGCGCGCCAGCCCGCTCCCGGGCGGCGGACGACAGGCCGCGCAGGCCGGAGCTGGAGAGTTTCAGGTGGGACACCTTGTGGAGCAGGTGGCCCAGGCTGCCGGGCCCATCGTCCGGCGCCTTGCGCAGCGCCTCGCCCGACACCAGGTAGGGGGTCGCCTCGGGCGCCTCCGCCGAGACCTTGCCGCCGCTGCCGCTCACCGACAGGTTGTGGAGAAGGTCATCGACCGATGTCACCGAGTCATTCCTAAAGCGGTTGTACTTGGTGCGTGGAAGCATGCCCCTCCGTGAGCTCGCCGCATCCGCCCGGGCGCTGCTGGTGCCGGCTCCGGCGCGGACTGCCGCGCATAGCACACTAGCCGCGAGCCCCGGAGCGGGACAAGGAGCTGGGGTCCCAGGACAGCCTTTCCGGAAAGGGAGCACCGAGGCCGACGACTGAGTCCTCACACCGTTACAAGGCAGCGGAGCAGCCGACGCGCAGCGCGGGCCCAGGAGACCACGGGTTGGGGTGGAACGCTTGCCTTGCAAAAGTCATAGTTACCGCTGATGGAGCGCCCAGCTGCACCGGGCTGCTCCCAGCAAAAGCGTGACTCACTCTGAGGAGACCCTTCTCAACAAAGGCTCGGTGAGCTCCGCAAACCACTTCCTGTAGCAAAAAGAGAGAGAGAGAAGAAAAACGACATCCACCCGCTGACAGCAACTACAGCCAATCAGTTCTCAAATTTCCTTCCTCTACCTTCGCAGCTATCTCCTTCCGATCTTTGTTTCTTCACCTACCTTTTCCCCATCCCACATTTGAGCCAAAGGTAACCCCAGTTCCTTCAAATGATCTCTCGAACTTTCCAGACCCCATTATTCCATGTTAGGGTTTGTCTTCCCTTGCTCAGCTCATGTGGGTGAGCCCCAGAAGTGTCTGACAGCGATGCGTTAAAATGTGACGACGGCTTTTTAAGAAGTCTTCAGGTGAATCCTGATGAATCCTGATTTGGAAAGTAGCAAGAATTTTTAAGTAAGAAGAAAAAGAGGGGAACCCTCCACCCGTCAGGTGAATATTTTAAAAGGGCGTCAGTTTCCCGTGGTTTGCTTTTCTTGTTCAGATCCACAGAGCAGCCATGAGTGTCTGTGGCGATGCAATTTCTCGGATAACACACGAAAAAAAACCAAATCTACACGTGAACTTCTTCTCAGTACAGCTCAAGAAGTCTTCCCTGGTCATCCACAGCAGTCAGCAGCCTTTCTCAGTCGGGGTTAAGTTGAAAATCTACTTCCCAAAAGGAATAGTGCTTCTCTGATGAGCAGCAACAGGCTCCAGAAATCCATGCCAAACAGGAAAAGAGAAAAGAGGGCTGCGTCTTGAGCTCTATGCCAACTGAATGTGTTTAAGGCCTGGAAGCACGCCTTAGTAACACCATCCATCCATTCCAATGTCCCTTCAGTTGCTGCTTTGCAGCCCTGCGGTCAGACAGAAAAAAAAAAAATGCGGCTGCTCTAACTGCCCATCAAATCCACAGCAAGAACGGCCTCATCCTTGGGAGTCAGGCTCAGGCTTGCAGTGACACACATAGGCCTTCTTCCTGGCGTTTAGGAGAACAGGACACCGGCAGCCTCCCGGAAGGTCTGTCCAAGATTCTGAGACCCACTGACCCCTTCCTCGGTGGCCTCTGCCAGGTGTCCTCATGCGTTAAGATAGATAACCTGCACCACAGGGAAGTCAGTCGCTGTCAAAGTTTCCCCGGTAACTTCTGTGCCAGCGAATGCTTTTGCCTTCTAGCACACTAGCAGGTCACCCTGAGTCTTCTCACGCCCAGGGCTGATCTCGGATGGCTGTGAGGTTCCCAGGTTTTCTGGGAGCCCCAGGAACGGAGTTTAGGGAGCGCCACCCATGGCGGGCGCTCGGGTGAGGCCGGCTCCAGAGGACGAAAGAGCGCAGCGCTCTGGCCCGCCCCGGAGCAGCAAACGGCGTCCCCACCGCTCTCCAACCGCGCCGCAGCCCTAGCCCAGCAGCCACCCCGCACTCTCTTTTTTCCCTTCCCCTAGCTTGCATAGCAACAGCAGATGCGCACCCCACAGACGATTTCGATGGTGATTAGAGTCCCCCTCCAATCTGAAGCAAGTCAGCCCCACCATTCCCAAACCGTGGTCTTCATTAGAAGCAGACAAAAAAACGACAGAATGTGAATGAGAGGCTGTTTGTGTGAATGGAAGGGCCAGTGAGCGAGCCAGCGTTTCTGTGAATGGAGCGGGGCCTTGCAGCCGGTGCCAGGCAATCCCCTGGGCTCAGGCGGCATCAGCCAATGAGCGGCTGCGCCGATGACTCATTCAACAAAGGCTCGCTCAATAGTGGAAGATTCCATTTCAATCAAGGGCGGGATCTTTTATCCAACAGCAGTGTGGGAAAAAAAAGGAGAGAAAGAAAAAAAAATAACACCACCCAGATGGATTACAAAAATGCTAGGAAGAAGAGACAAGCCTGTGCAGAGAGAGGGGGGACATTAGCTTTATAAAGATGTTGGAGACCGGTCGGGTCAGGTCCGGGTGAAGCAGGACCACTCTCTTGGAGGTGAGCTGTACCCAAACTTTCATTCACTGGTTCTTCTACATCATGGAGCAGCCATGAATGTACCAGCTTTTATTATGAATGTACACAGAAGGCACAGTCAAAGGCTAGCCTCTTCCCCCTGAAGTCTTTCCTAATAAAGAAATAAAAACACCTAGCAAGCTAAGCCTCCAGAGAGATGGAGGGAATCCCAAAGCTACATCATTAACCCTTTAGCCAACAGGAGACTTTTCAATTCTGTTATGAGGCCAACGGAGGGAAATGAGTGGGAAAATATGAATGGCCGTGTAAATTTACATACAAAAATACTCGTTGGTGTGTGCTGTTAATATTCCAAGAATATAATACAGTACAGAAAATCTGCAGTTAACTGGAAAATGGTATGAATATTTTGGTATGCAGGAGAGGGAAAAAAAGAAATTTAAAGAGACCTACTGCATCAGATGGAGTTCCACAGCCCCTGCAGGGGCGCTCTGCTCATGTATTTATCCCAGGAGAGCCCTTTGCTCCCCTGGGGAGCCTGGCATGACTTTTTAGGCATTGTTCTCCAAAACCCAAGCATCTGGGCTATCAACCTGCAACACACTGGCACTGATGAGAAAGGGGATGCCTGGATAGATAAATCTCGATGCCATGTTCATAGTCTGCACTATGCTTTGAGCATCATGTGTTCTCTGAATGCTCATGTTGAAGTCTAATCCTGGCAACCATTCAGAGGGTGAAATCATAATCTGTGTCATTCAGCAGAAGGGCTTCTGGGACGTGACTGGGATAGGGTAATCAGACTGGAGTCTCAGAGAGTGAAGACTGGTGGCTTTGTGGGAAGAGGGGAGGCTCACGTGACAGCCCAGTCAGTCAAGTGGTTCCCTTGCAAGCATGAGGACCTGAATTCAATCCTCAGAAATTCAATCAAACAAAACAAAACAAAACTAACCCTGGGCTAGTGATCCAGGGTTACAGAGGCAGAAACAGGCAGATTTCCTGGGACTCTGGAGCCAGCCAGCCTAGTCTACTCAGCAAGTTCTAGGCCAAGAAGAGACCCTATCTCAAAAACCAAGATGGGGGCCAGAAAAATTGCTGACAACCTTGATGACCTGAGTTCAATTCCCAGGACCCACATGGTTGGAAAGAGAATCTTGAAGCTGTCCTCTGACCTCCACACACATGCTGAAACTCCAGCAATGTAACGAAAAGTTGTTTTTAAAGAAAATATGGCTATCATCTGAGGAATGAGAGTGGAGGCTGCTATCTGTCCCCCACATGGGTGCCATACCATGTACGCACATACAACTTCATACACAAAACACACACACACACACACACACACACACACACACACACAGAGGCATGCTCCCTGTTTCTCACCACATGAAACCCTGAGCCGCTTCAGACTCTGCTAGCGGGAAGCCCATCACCCATTCTGGTCTCTCAACTGTACCAGACCCACGTGCCAAAGTAAATGTCTTTATTCAGAACTCACCTAGTTTGGGGGCTATGTTATTAACAAGGGGAACGGATTAAAACACCATAGTGATGCAAAGCACCCTGCCTGCCGGAACAGCTGCTAGTGAAGGCTGCTTACCCTTACCATTCTGCAGCCCAGCATCTTCCACCAAAAAGAATGCAGGGGAAAGCCCACATTTCCTACCTGCAGGATGAAGAGTCCAACCAGGTGAAGTAATAAAGGCATGAAATAGTCAGCTTAGGGTTAGGAGTCTTCTGTGTAGGGACATCCAGTGCAGAGGTTGAAACTGGGAAATATGAAATTCTTTAACAAGATATAAAAGGTGGGTCAGATATTGGGTAGATGGTACATGCATACAATGCCAGTATTTTGGGTGGTTGAGGCAGGACCGTTGAGGGCTCCAGTAGGACAGACTGGGCTACATGGTGAGATCCTGTCCCAAAAACAAACAAAGTAGTCAGAAATTGTAGGGTAAGTATAAAAACCCAACTGGAAGGATGCCATGGCAGAGTGGGTTTCCGGTGCAGTGAAGAACACCATCACAACCTTTTTTTTTTTTTAACGAGACAGGGTTTATCTGTATTGTTTTGGAGGCTGTCGGTCCAGCCCAGCCTCGAACTCACAGAGATCCGCCTGCCTCTGCCTCCCGAGTGCTGGGACTAAAGGCGTGTGCCACCACCGCCTGGCTACACCACCACAACCTTAAGAAAATGTCCTCACAAACAAACAATGCACACCGTTGCAAATGCAGCTTGCATCTCATTTTGCACAAATGGAAGCCAAGGGTCACTGGGGCTATACAACATGCCAAAACCACACCTTCTGTCTTCATGGCCACACACAACCCTGCCTCAGAGAGGTGTGGTATGTGCTGTCCAATGAGCCTTCTCCCTGCATGTAGTGGTCATGTCATTAGATATCGCAGAACAATGGCATGAGAAACAGAAAAAGGAATGGACAGTTCAGACTTTCCAGAAGATAGAATGGAATTTTAAAAAAGACTTCAATTTCAAAGACAGGCTAAGGGGATGACTCCATTGGTGAAATGTCTTACACACAAGCACAACATGAGTTCAGGGCCCCAGATCCTCATAAAAAGTCCTGTATGGTAGTGTGCACCTGAAATCTTAGTGCTGGGGACAAAGAGACAGGAAGACCCCAGAAGCTCCATGACCAACTAATCCTATCCAATTAATGAGCTCTACATTCAGTGAAAAGCCCTGTTTCAAACATTAGGTGGGGAGCCAGAGAGATGGCTCAGGGATTAGGAGCACTGGCTGCTCTTCCAGAGGTCCACAATTTGATTCCCAGCACCCACATGGTGGCTCACAACTATCTTTCAGTTTCAGGGAAGTTGGTGCCCACTTCTGGGTTCTTCAAACGCTAGGCTCACACATGGTTCACAAACATAAATGCAGACAAAGCATCAATACACAAAATAAAAATAAGAAAGATGGAGAGTGATAGACATTCCCCGGCCTTCACAAGCGCACACATACATGAAAATACACACGAACACATATGCATTCCAAAGACATAAGCACAAATGTTAAATGTAGTGACATATTATTTATGATTTACCAAAACATGCCTGAGGATTCAGAAAAGCAAAGTCAGCCTCAAGCTATAGATATCAGGAAGTGGTGACACACACCTTTGATCCCAGCAGCCAGAAGCTAGGAGGTGGTGGCACACACCTTTCTTTAATCCTAGGACTCAGGGTTTAAGAGGTAGACAGATCTCTCTGAGTTCAAGGCCACCCAGGGATACACGAGATTGAATCAGTCCAAAAGAGTAACAGATCGCACGCCTTTAATCCCAGCACTAGAGGGGTATAAAAGACAGAAGCAGGGTCTCAGTAGAGGCATTCCTTCTCCGGGCACACTGAGGAGAAGCAGCAGTTAGAGACTCGTGCATGGATCAGCCCTTTCAGCCTGAGCTAGAGGTGACAGCTAATGCCCAGCTGCCTTGCTCTCCTGACCTTCAGCTTGAAGTTTGAACCCCAATATCAGTCTCTGGGTCTTTTACTTTTTTGTGTTACAGTTAAGATGTAGTAGAGTACACCAGAGAGAAGTTGGAGTGGGTGATAGAGTACAGGTGTAGAACGGAATGGAGGGAGGGAGGGAGGGAGGAAGGGAGGGAGTGAGGGAAGAAGAGAGGGAGGGGGAGGGAGGGAGGGAGGGAGGGAGGAAGGGAGGGAGTGAGGGAAGAAGGGAGGGGGGGAGTGAGAGAGGGAGGGAGGGAGGGGGGAGGGAGAGAGGGAGGGAGGGAGGGAGGGAGAGAGGGAGGGAGGGAGGGAGAGCACACAGCAGTGAGGAATTACAGGCTTCAGTACGTTAGGTTGAATTTTCCGGTGGATTTTTATCAGACTGGCAAAAAAAAGAAAGTGGTGGGGGCAAAAAATGGTGGGTTGAGGAGTTAGGATGGATTTCCAGGAATGGGTCGGGGTGGGGGTGGTGTCACCTGAGAGTGGTCCTCTCAAGCACTCGGTGTTGGAAGAGCAGCTGACAATAATCTGTGATGCTGCATGAGAATAGCCCAGCGATGCCTGCATGGTGGAGGGACAGCAGTCTCTAGTGTACATGCATACCTTCCCACCTGGGGCCTACAGCTGCCATTTAATAACAGTTATCTGTGGTTATAGGCTAGCTTTACCCTCTAGTTCCCTCCCCGAATCAGACAGCTGCTCTTGGGGGGGCGGGTGACCCTGGAGGAAATAACCATTACATGATTGTGCCTAGCATCCACACCATGTTAATAGACAGGAGCATTTGCTCTGTAGATATAAGTGACTGGTGTGGCATTTAGGACAGACTAGGTTAACTGTGACAACATCTGCATGGCTCACTGACTGCTCTTTACAGAGAGAGAGGGGGGGGGCTCTGATGCCCTGTTGTCTGCTCTCAGGGATGTGGCAGGCAGAGAAGCCTCCATCTGAGACTCTGGTGCTGGTGTTCAGGCAAGAAGAGCCCTAGCATCGTTTTTACAGCCCTGCAAGACCAGGAAGTGCCAGGAATGAGCCCTCTTCGTAGAAGAAGGTTGCTAGACCCCTTATGAGATGCTGGTGGCAGATTTTCCTCTCTGTACTGAAGCTACTGTAGGGCCATCTCTGGGCTTGTGGACAGTGTGGTGGGTGTGTTGCTAGGAAACAGCCAATTGAGTGGAGTCCGTGGGAGGCTTCCTACAGAATCATGTGATCTGTGGATGGCCGTACATCTTGTGGTCAGCAGGGCTCTGCCAAAACGGTGTGAAAGGT